CATCGGCGTGCGAATGCTGAACAGTACAGACTCACAGAGCCGCTAGCAGACTGCTGTTTAACAATAAAACTTATGTAGAACTAAAAAGATTACATCATTGTTTTTTATTTGTACATAAACAAACAAACTAATCAATATTTATGTGGTTTCTACAGTCGGTTAATCATTCAGGGTTGGAGCTGCCACTGTAGATCCTGAGGTCATTCTTGCGTTATTATATCAGAAAATGTTTTTCTTTCCTTTTTTTAAAAGAATAATTATCTTTATCTATTTTTAGCACCAAATATTATGTTAAATATAAAATAGTGATTGAATATAAACAGAATATATAAGAACTGTGGAACTGAAAATGCAACACAACAGTTAAATTATGTTGTTATTGTTATTATTATGTAAAATCGGTAGAAAATACAGTTTTCAGTTTTCATCGTATGTTTTGTTGCTGCAGTCCTGGTAAATAATGAAATTTTTCAACCACACGTAGCAAATAAAAACATCCACTGTGGCTGCAATAGATTACTGAATCATGGCCTGTTCGGGCTTCAAATTATACAGCCTCTAATGATCCACTATAATCTGCATGAGCTACACAACTACTGCCGTATCACTCTGTTGTAAATCCTGCATTTCCATTTTAATAAGGCCATGCACACAAGCCCATTATTAATATAAACACACTGCCTCAATTTTAGACCTGACATGCTCGTTATAGTAATAATTTGACAACATGATTTAGCCAAACAGCAACATACGCTTCGGCTGTGTGGTGTGAGTCAAAGCCTGCATTTGTTTTAGCTTCACAACAGTTGGAAACATTAGGAGAATGGGCACATAGAGGATGCTGCTGAGATGGAAACCCGTGTAAAAGTCCCAAAGGGCAGATTTAAATGTTGTTAGTGCTTTGTGTTATGGTAATGAAAATTCAGGGTGCAAGCAGTTGTATAAAAATCCATAACTGAGAATAAAAGATGGAGAAAGGGGAGGAAAAACAGCCCCACAGTCTGACTGAGGGTCATCTGAAGCACAGCAGAATTTAGTTTGTCATGAAACAGTCATTGTTCCTCGGCGAGCAGCTGAACGAGCGCGTTGTCTCTGTGGTATAACAGTGACTCATCTGTCGGCTGCCTTTCAAGTCTCAGCTGTCTCAGCTGATTGGACACTGAAGCGAAGGGCTGTGAGCCACGAAGCTTGAGTCTGTGCACTGAGCATCAAAGCAGTGGAAATGACTAATATTTGTGTCCAGGTCCTTAATGGGGAAATTGGGTTGTCATAAATTATGTTAAGTGTTGGCTTTTGCTTTCCACTAACAGTGAACCAAAGATGAGCGTTAAAGGATACTCTCTGTACAGGCGGCTGTGGCTAAGGAGATAGAGTGGGTCGTCAAGCAATCAGGAGGTTGTTGGTTCGATCTGATTGAGTATCTTGGGAAAGGTATTTAATCCCAAATTGTTCCCGATGCGTTCACCGGAGTGTGATTGTGTGTGTGACAGATTAAAAAGCTCCTAAAGCCCTGGGTGAATGGATGAATGTGACTTGTAATGTTTCAAAGCACTTTGAGTGCCAGTGGGAGTGTAAAAGTCCATTTGCCATATTTGTTAATTTTTATTTAGACCATGGAGTATATTTTGATTTGTCTTACTGTTAAATACTCGGGAGCTCAATGTGCATTAATCCAAGGCCAAAAATAGACCTCAGTTTATATTATTTACTTCCATTTGTGTCACATTTGTTAGAAATAACACAGTACCCAGCATTTTAAGGACTTTTTAAAAAATGTAACTTTAAATGTGTCTTTCAAATAATTTCCATGACGTGCTCTTTTTCATGAGGTGACCAAAAAAGTGACACTTAAATATCTTCTTGAACCACCTTTAGCTTTGATGATGGCACACATTCACTCGTGCAATGAGTTTCGGGCCTGGAAAGTCAGTATTTGGCCACCTTCTTCAACATAGACTGAACTTTCTTAGACCACCTTTCTTTTGTACTGTTGGCAGTGTGTTTAGCGTTCCTACCATGCTGAAAGATTGAGCTGTTGCCAGTTAGATGGTGGCTTAAGTGCAGCTCCAAACCATGACAGAGCCTCCACCGTGTTTTACAAATGGCTGTAGACACTTAACATTGTACCTCTTTGTTCAACTTGTTGCCATAAAAATAGTATTTTACTTTTTATTTTGCTTGTCACACTATGTTATTGTGGGTATTTTTTGCAGGCTAATGTTAAAAGAAGGGAATAAAGATTTGGTTTTGTGAAAGGCTGCTAGTAACAAAGTGCCTGGAGACCCAATTTAAGCGTTTTCTGTTGTGTGTTTGTCGCCTTTTCTTATGCTTGAATAGGTCATAGATCAGTAAACACAAAAAAGTATTTGTTTACTGTATTTGTGTTTTATTTAGTATAATCTAGATGTTGATTTGTTTATTGTGTTTTTTTGACAAGGCATGTTATTGAGTCAACTTTGGTAATTTCACAGTTGCGTCTTCAATAATTAATCCAGTCCTAATATTTCTACTGTAGATGAGTAATTAACCAATTAATCACTTTGCAACATTTCAGAAAAACTATGAAAAATCAATCTTCCAGTTGTAATTTATCAGGAATAGCATTCCGATTTAAAAAATGTAAACCTTTGACAGTTTGTACGTTTTGCTTGATGAATGGCTCGAGTCATTTTATTGATAGTTTAAAATTTTTGACTACTTTGAATACATTTTTGCTTGATTAAAAGGAAACACTTTGCTCAAACATCACCACCACCCCGCAAAAACGCAGGATTAGTGCTCAGTTAATCATCCCGAATGCTGCTAATACATTTAAGCTCTTCCTCTGCTGTCACTGTGATTAAATCCCGTAAACACTGAAACAGCTGCTTTAGCTCCTCAAACATAAATAATTGGAAATGTTGTCAAAATGTAAAGCGGGAAGCAGCTCTTTCCACGAGGGTGAAGATGAACTTACAGAAGCAGCTGTTTTTAATCAATAATATGATGGGCCATGGCCACGAAACACCAAAGAGCAGCACTCAGTACAGCACCGTATCAGTTCAATCTCTTGTCTCTGCCAGACTGATCGTTTCAGCACGCCATCGCAGACAATAGGCGTGAAGATGGGCGCAGCAAGGAGAGAGACGAGGCTGCATTTTGATTTACGCGGCCTCGCTCGGTAATTGATTTCAGTGTTTGTAATTTTAGTAATCCTGGTGTTCACGGTGAGAGGAGAGGAATTCATTTTCTGCAGGAAATAAATTAGGGAATGACGAGAGATAAAAATGGATGTTGGAGAACACACCTGAAGAGCGGGGGAATAATAATAAGACTGGTTTCACCCCCACCTTCCCCCAGACATCTCATTTGATTGGCTGAGCTCAACCGCCAGCGATGGCCCTGCAGGCTTGTTGGTAGAGAATTTATTCCATTTTGTCGCAAAGTGATGGAAATGAGGACTCTCTGGCCTGAGAGAAAGTACATTATTGGGTAAAATGACAGAGGGAAATGTGCAGAAACATTCATGCATTCGGAAGAGGAAGCATCACAGGAAAAGCAGCGGAATAAGAGCAGAAAGCCACGTGAATTAAATGAGTCATTTTAAGGCCGTGCTGTGTTCAGATTTGAACACACTGGATGAATGAATCCAGAAAAGTGATGTGAAAGCATCACAGAAGTTTCATTTTCCAACAGTACCATCAAGTTTATATCCACTATCCATTGAATTATAAGCCGAGTAATCACCTGGAAATTGGCTAAAAAACAGGCTAAACAGTCCACAGCACAAGAATGCAGTAGCTATAGTAAGAGAATATATAAATCAGGGCTTATTTTTTATGCCTGTCTGGCGGGAGGGTCTTAAAATACAGTCTTTCAATTTTTTTGTGCATGACTTTTTCAAATTTCAAGGAGCTTGCATTAAATACTTGTTGTATTTTCTTTTTATCCTAAAAGGGATTTTATATGCAGAACTTTGACTTCAGGCAATTATGTGGCAAAAGACCAAAGGTGATTAAAAAAAAATGTAATGGAGTAGTAACATTAATTATATTCACCAAAGTAATGAGTTACTTTAGAACTACACATGTAGTTTTCAGAAGTATTTGCTTTCCTCAGAAGAAGCTGGTTACTTTATGGAAAATTATGATGAACTGATGTGTATTCAGTCCAGGTTAGTTATACTTTCTTCATTCACGATTATGTACAGTTCCCGAGCTAAATAAGTGGCTTCATTAAAGGCTGAACATAAGGCTCAGAGTGGATGTACACATGCCCTCCAGTTTCTTGTGTCTGCATGGAAACGCCACAGTGCACACAAGCATGTCCTTCAGGTGAACTTGGTCTGCATGACCTGTAAACCTGATAATTACATTAACTCTGCGACACTTTAACCAGTTTGCACGTCATTTATTTACATAACATTCACATTACAGCTGGGTGATTAATACAAAGCTGCAGCATGACACTGTAATATACAGAAAATGCCGCTCCTGTTCAAATTCAGCATTAGTAAATACTTCCAGAATTTCAGCTCTGCACACAACAACAACAACAACAACAACACAGAAAGTCACAACAGATTCCCTTCAAATCCCCAACACCTACAAAATACAATTTAAATACCCAAAGAGGTGTTAACGTTTCCTCACAAACAGTGCAAAAGACATTCAACGCAGTGAAACAATGCAGAAAAAGAGAGGCGCCTGCCTTCCGGCAGAGCAGAGATGGTTTGAACGTTAAAGATTTTCAAAAAGACATTAAAACCATAACAGCTACAGAGTTTCATCCAACAGACCCGCGACAGAAATACAATTCAAGTAATTCAATGGTAGACTTATGATTCAGTAAGTCTGATTCACTGCAAACAAAAAATATACAAACAGAAGCAAAAACCTCCTCTGCCAGTGTTATAAGGATATTGCACACCTAATAATTTAAATAGGATTCACTGATTAGTTATATTTATTAATATTGTTGCATTTCTGCACGAATAGTCAGCAGAAATAATTTGTCAAAAGCAGCATTAAAAACAGATTTAAATATGACCTCAACTGCTGACCTGTATGGTTGAACGAAAGAGTAACCATATGAACCGACCAATGACTATTCAGGGAAAAGATCTGCAAATGAACACAGTCTGGGTGAGATTTCAGGATAATAAAAAAAAAAAATCTAGAGGAATCCAGTGACTGTAGATGTCCTCCTCTTGCTCTTGGTGTGAGGCGAGTGGCCGCTCCACCTATCTGGTGGTAATTAGTTCTTGCCGCGTTACCATGGCAGCTCAGAGCAGGTCAGGCAGGATGAGGCCCGGGGGTTTGGGCTCCACACAGTTAATCCAGAAGTTGGCACAGCTGGCGTGGTACTGATGGCCCCCGTACATCAGCTTGAAGTTGTCCGTCTCCGAGTTGAACGCCTGTTAGAGTGAAAGGGTGAAATATAATAATAATATAAACCTGTGTGTGCACCTGCTTTACCCGGACTTCATTTTAATGCTGCTGAAAGGGAAAAAAGGCTAGTTTATTTTGACGAGCACAAAGCAGCCTGCAGCAGCATCCAATTAACTTGAATTCAATTCAGTTTTATTTATATAGCTCCAAATCACAGCCACAGTTGCTTCAAGGTGCTTTACATTGTAAAGTAAAGACTCTAAAATAATAGAGAAAAACCGCAACAATCAGATGACCCCCTATGAGCAAGACCTTGGTGACAGTGGGAAGCAAAAACTCCCTTTTAACAGGAAGAAACCTCTGGGAGAACCAAGCTGAGGGAGGGACAGTCTTCTGTGGTTGTGGGTAAGAGGGGGAGAGGAAAAAAGACACGCTATGGAGTCCATATCAGATCTACCGAAGGCCGTGATCTTCAGATGGAAAACCTCACAATGCAGTTATTTCTATGCCTACTTTTGTAGAGACTGAAAAATATTTAAGGGGTGCCCCTGTGAGTAAGCGAACATCTGAAAGCAGCTTTTAAAATCTACTTTTTTTGGAAGGTTACAGGAAGCTCGCACCAGTCCAACCATAAAAGCCTCTTAATTAACTGGGAAATATGACACATGCCATTACCACTCAGCTGTATTGATGGTATTTATAAAAGTATGTGCAGCACGCTTATTCAGAGCATGAATCAGCTATCCTCTGAGAGCAGCACAGTGGTGCACAGCACAGCACAGCTTCAATGTAGGTGACCCTGCAGTAAATTACAGCCAAGTTACGCAGGATGAAAATCTGCCTCTGGCAAGCAAAACATTTCAATACACATGGGCAACGCCTACTGGGGAAAAACTCAAGTCGTTAAAAATGGCCTGCATAAAATTATATGAGAGCACAGGAAAAGAAGAAAAAAATACTGTATGAATAATAGTCCAACGGGTACAAATGTTCTATCTACAGAAATGCTGTGAGAGCCACATGCTGTGAACATCTCACTGATCATAACTAAATCTGATAAGGAGTCAAACTAAATCTAAAGATTTTCTGCATATTTAAAAAATGTGACTGTGGTTGAAATCAAGGGATGCTGCATGCTGTGACACTTTTACACTGTTATATATATACAAACTCAAGAAGGATGACAGTGCCCCTGGTATTTCTGTAAATGTGCTGGAACAAATAAATGTGCACTGGCTGACATTTAGAGAGACCTAAGATGAGAGGTGCTGTGTAGTCCTCTCTTTATACACAAAATATGCATCCAAGATGGAAATAATGTTTTGAAGTAACGTGTTTACAGCTGGGCATCAGATGACGTTCTTTATTTAAATCTGGAGGTATGCATGAGAGCCATCAAAACAGCCATAGATATCTTCATGCATGCTGATTTAGCTCAATCAAAACACAGGAGAAGATTAGATATGTTTGAAGCTGCATGTCTAATCAGATGAAGCCATCTCTGCAGTTTTTATATTAAATGTGGGGGGTGGCGGGGCAAAACTGAAAAATCCACTGAAAAATGAGAGGAAGCTATAAAAACATGATAGCAATCTCATGTTTAAACCTGCTGACAACCTGATCAGGGGATCCAAACACACCACAAGTGACTGCTAAATGGGGCAAAAAATAAAGCAAAATTATTCCCCAAAGATTTAACATAAAATGAACTGAAAGGAGAAAAAAAACTGATCGTGCTATGACTGCAGACGCTGTAATTCCATCACTGTCTGTACTTGTATCAACAAATATGGATCACCTCATTTATTTTGTTGAGACAAAAAGGATAACAATGCCCTACCGCAAAGCCTGCTGCGTCACAATGTGATTTGATTCTGAAAAACATTGCCTGAACTGGAGCTATTTAGAAAATGAAATGTGTCGAACTGACCCGAAACCCCTGAAATCTCTCTCACACACACACACTCACACGCACACACACACGAGGGCTCTGATGCAAGTTTGCGATTTCACTGGGCCCAGCTGCGGCACGGTGGGCGCAATCAGGAGATGCTAATGTGTGTGATGTGCAGTTTAGGAGTTTGCATCCCCAGTGAAATAATGGAGCTGAAGCCGGAGAGAGGAATGAGTCATGTGCAGTGAATCACAGCCTCCCACACAGAAGCAGAGGGGAGACGCATGCAGAAATACACCACCACAACACACCATTAAGTCAAATACATCTCCACCTGCCTGAATGCAGTCTGCGGCACAGATGCTCCGCCCGATGAAGGGCTTTCTCAGACGAGCCGAATGACACATTTCCACTTTTCGCTTTTTCCTTCACACGCTCACATTTCACTGGAGGAGCGATTTCCTTTCAGAGACCCCTCTGTGCCCTGGCCTACTTGCTTCCACAAACCTGCACTTAGAGGAGTGCCAAAGCTGGGAAATGTTGGGAGGGAGAGGATGCAAAATGAAAGGGTGGTCAAACTAAAACACACCCCTGCTTTCACTGCAGTGCCTTTCCTGCTCCAGAGTTCACCTGTGTGTCAGTGAAGGGAGGCTAATATCCACCTGTTTTAACTAAACAGAGCCTTGTACACAGCCTGCCCTGGAAAATCATTTGTTTCTAATGCCTGGTTAAATAAAGGTTAATAAAAGCCTGCTGTGACACTACAGTGTGGGTTTTATGTTTTCAAGCTGGAGTTGTCAGATAAAACAGAGACTCTGCTAATTCATCTGACCTTTCAGCTGCATGTAAAGGTCCTGGCTCCTCTATCTGTTCGGATATAAAAATCAAGCTTAAATGCAAACTATTTTACTAGAAGTTCAAAAAAACAAAAAAACAAGGCATAATTACCCTTAAGCTCCTCTCCCTGTCTTTAGTCAATGCCTGTAAGCACAAGAGCAGTCAGAGAGGTGAAGCATATTCATGCAGCGCCCAGAGCAAAGTGTGCACAGAATAAGCAGCGAGCAGCCGTTTCACCACTTTTCACAGCATGTTTTTGGTTGAAAACATGAAAGTTTTTACCCTCGGGGCTCCTACACATTATTCCAACTCAGAATTCAAGAGATTTTGCCGCGATCGATCTAAAATATTGACTGAAGATTTTAGCCAGTATGCTCACTGAAACAAATCAGCGCGGTTTGTCACAGTTAATCCAGTCCTGTAGACAAATCTGGGTTGTAGACAGAAGGAGAAAAGCTGCTATTGCAGCGGCAGCACCTCACATGAACCAGAGTCTGTGTTTAAAATGACAGTTATCAACTGACATTAAAATAAAGGTTGAAGGCTGAAAGAACAAAGGTTTGGTTTAATCAGACGTCCCCTGCTCAAAAAGAAGCTGAGATGTTGGGAGAAAACCAAGAAAGGACCTTTACCAGTCCCTCATGTTTTGATCTTGCCATCTTTTGCCGTGTTGCTGGTACAACAGCATAATTGGTTAGAGCTGAAACAATCAGCCAATCGCCTGAAACTGTACTGCAGCAGCTTTATATTAGCTGACTTAAAGCTACAGCTTCATCTCTGTTTCGTGGTTTTCTTCTGCAATAATAAACCGAATATATTTGGGATTTGGGTTATTGATCGAAAACAACAAAGCATGTGGATGCATGTGTTACATGGTGAAAAAACCCATCAATGACTCAAAGATTTACAAGCCAGCACAAACAGAAACCTGCCCTCACTGACAGCTTTCTTTACTGTGAGATAAAAAAAAAAGAAGCTACAAGTTGTCCGTGATACATCACCAGACCTGGAATCGAGCGCTACTTTTTAAGGTTGTTGCTAAAGTTTAATGTTACTTTTAGCACAACCCTTTTTAAAAAAAAGTGAAGTAAAATGTAAACAAAGTGATAATTTGAAACTAATTTTAATGTTACAATGTTGAATTAAACATAACAATAAAACAAAAACAAGAAATAACATACTTATTTAAATATCTGCTCAGTCTAAATTTGCTAGCACCAACACGTTTTAATTAAAGTTGGGATGGGGACATGATTTTCGCTAATTTATGTCACTTCCACACAGGAAGTCGTTGACGAATATCCGAACCAGGCGGATGAGGCTTTGTAAAAAGAAACCACGGCGTTTTTGGAGCAAGACTAGTTCCACTTTTTTTGTGCTGCAGAGACGACTGTTGAATGACCAAGACAAACATGTCAACTTCTCAGTTTCTCTCAGCTTCAGATTTGTCGAATTTGTGCTTTTGAACATTTTCAAAGAGTGCTCTTTCAATTCCCAAATTCTTTAATGTCGGTATTGCACGGTAAGTAATTTTCCTGACTTTCTTTGTCTGTGCAGGAGCCCCGCTAACCTCGACCAGATGGAAACATGCTGTGAAAGAGATGGGCAGCCTAAGAACAAAGCTGTGGTCCAAACTCCCGTGTGCTGCTGTCAAAACACCACACATTCAACTTGATAATCCAAATGCTTGAGGCACTTGAAAAAGCTGCATTAAAATAAATAGCCAAAAATGCTAAATTATTCAGCTTAAACTCCTTTCCAGTCCTTCTCCTTGTAAATGCCTAAATTAGCATTTATCGTTTAGTGGAGGAGCTGGAGCATCATTAGCCAAAAAGTATCACTTAGGGTGAAACTGCTGCTGCTTCTGAGTGACAAACTGAGAAGAGATGAAGCCGTTTGCAGTCGCCCATCCAAGCCCCTTAACCCAAAGATAACATGCAGAATGATTTAAACCAAAAAAAAGAAAAAAAGGTGCGACAACCCAAAGAATATTAGCCAAACAGGAACACGGTGAGTCTGGCTGAAAGCGACTGTTTGGCTCTGTTTCAATCGAGAATAATATCAGAATTCAAAACATGAATTGAACAGGAGAGACTGAGCACATCGGCTGTCGAGCCTTTTTCGCATTTCTTTGATGCCACATCAACGTCTCCACCCGCCTGCACCTTTGGTCGAAAAAACAAATCGGCACCTCTTCACTGAGGGACAAAGCAACAATCGGTGCTGTCTGCCGTAGCCAAAGCTGTTCTTTCACTTCATTATACTCGCAGGGGATGCTATTCTCCGCTCGGCAGTCTTACCAGGGTGGTTTGTGCCAAAAATGTAATTAAAAGATGGGTTATTAATCTCATGCTTGTGGCACAGAGACAAAATAAAACTGCATTAATTTCAGACTGCCTCTGCGCACAGAGGAGCGAGAGGTGAGAGAGAGTGCGTTTGTGTGTGCAGGTCTATTATCCGCCGTTCTCCCTGCTTATGACTAATGTGTAAGCCACATCTGCTCGCAGCCTAGATGCCTCTCAGTCAGCCTTATCTCGTCTGGACTATCCATCTGGCTCTGGCAGAGCAGCAGACGGATCGCAAGAAACAATCAACGCCACCATCCTGCCCTCTAAACCGCAGGGTCCGAGAACACCCTTAATGGCCCACGTCAATGAAAATCACGACACCCTAGGCAAAGAGGTACCGCCATCCTGCCCCGCTCTCTGAACAGTTATTAGAAACACCAACGGTTGGTAGCTCAAAGTGGCAAAGTGTGCAGCTACATCGAGATGGAGGTGGCAGAATAGAAAATGAAACCCTTCCAAGACAAAGTAACAACCTTTGTGACCTTGAGGAAGCAATCACAGAGTGAAAAAACCCACCCCGAGGTGCCAAAGTGACATCTTCCCTCTCTGTCATTTACTTCAAGAGCGCACATTGTTATCCGTGGACACTTCTAACTTCATACTTCACCATAAAAGCTGGGAGACGACCTAAAGTGACTGTCTGCCCACCGTCTCCCCTGCAGTGACTGTCTGATCAGAGCCTGTCAAGCTCTGACTTTGTTCACATTGTGGGGCACTAATAGGAGTGACACCTGGCATTTAGAGTGTCTGGAGAGTTTACAAAGGAAAAACTGTCGAAACACTGACTTTGCAGCATCACTTTCAGAACTATGTGTATTGTTTCTGGAGTAACATTAAAGGAAAGCTCTATCAGAAATAGAAGCAAGTCTCTTCATACTGCAATTATATATCCAACACCTCCATATACTTGATAGACGTTTTGAAGGAATCGCTTAATTTCAGTTTCAATGTGGTGACTCTAAACATGCAGATCTTTTTTATAGCATCACCATCAGATCAAATGTAATTACATTTAACTGTTTATCTATTGCCTAATTAGTAGTATGGATGGCTATGGGGGAGGTCTTTATTGGTAGACAAAGTTGTAAAACCTATGAAAAAATGTATGTTCTCCTTGACTTCTTTCAGAAGGTTGAATTAGAGTCTTTGCAAGGCCCTGCAAAGACTCCTTATGTTTAACACCACTGGCTTAACCCTATCTGGTGACTATAAACCTCAGTTGCAGTAAAATTCTGTTTGATTCACAAAAATTGTCACCTCAATGCACTTTATATTTTAAGGTTAAGACCCTACAGTAATAGAGAGAAAAATCCCAACAAATAGACAATGCCCAGTCAGCAAGCACTTGGTGACAGTGGGAAGGAAAAGCTCCTCTTTAATGGGATGAACCCTCTAGCAGAAACGTGCTCAGCAAGAGGCAACAATCTACTGGGGGGTGGAGTAAAAGAGAAGAGAAAAAAAAAGAGGTGGTGGTTCCCTGTTTATCCTTCTATTTAAGCCTCTGGGCGAATTCGCATGATGCACCCAGCACTTCTTCTCTATTCCTCTATGCATTACTGATGTGTATATATGCTGCTACACATATAAATAACTCTGTGTCTACTCTCTCTTGTGGTTTATATTTGGTTCCGTCTCTATTCTTATTTTCTCCTTTCAACCCCACCCCAGTGGTTCTGCTGGAGGTCTCTTTCTATGAAATGGGAGTTCTTCCTCCCCACAGTCACTGAGTGTGTGACTGTCTGATGGTAGGGCTTTAGATTACAATATAAAGCTTGAGACGTCTATATAAAATTGAATTGAGATCAAACTGGGCCGTACAGCTGAGTTTGAGCCGTCTGGTTTTGGCCAAGGTTGGCAGCTCTGGGGATAATTTTAATCTATTTGCAATAATAAAAGATATGAAGCATGCTGTTGCATCTCTTTCATATATCCCAATCACACTACGACTAACTAGGAGGAAATTATAATTCAAGAACTATTTTGTTATGCTCATTAATCTTTTGTTACATTACGCAGGGCTCTTTAAAAGTTTTTCGATCTACAGAAAGCTATCAAACAACTGAGTTGGAAACATAAAATTCATAAACGTCAGCTGGATTCTGCTCAGATTTATGGTGACAGTTAGCTAACTAACTAAAGGACTACATGCATAAAAGTCTGCAATGTGACAGGTGAAAAGAATTTGATCTTCCCTATGAACTCGTGTTAAATGAATATTACTTGCATCATATGTGCTGCAAGAAGACAAAGCTTGACAGGCAAAGTAATGTGAGGGGTTGGGGTTTAGATCTGGGATGATACTTTGTGGGGTTTTTTATGATGATGTGCATGTCTAGGCAGAAAACCGCTCTGATAGAAGAGCAGTGGAGAGGAGGGAATCCTGTCACTTTGGCCCCCCGCAGGGCTCGTCAGTAAGAGGAGGATAGGCCCCCCAAGGACCCCGACAGGAAAGAGTGGAATGAGATTTGGATGACAGTTGACTGTCTCATACTCGTTTAAACAGACGTCCAATAGTGCTTTCTTCTTTGTTCTGGAAAAATGTTTCAAAGTCAAAGAAATGTCAGTTGTTATCTGCTGGGGATGAGCACAGCATCATGTGTGTAAAAAACAAAAAACAGTACCCAGTAACAGTTACTCTGTGTGAGTGTGCGTGCACACAAACCTTGCTGCGAGCGTCGACGTTGAGCAGACAAACCCCACAAGCCAAGTCCTTTGCATTCTTGATACCCGGCCGCAGAATACAGGAGGAGAAATCCAGGGAGCTTTCATCAGGCTAGACACACAAAAACACACAGACGTTTTACTTCCTGCCGCAGGGCAAAACGTAGTCATTTCTATTCTTATAATAACAGCAGAGAGAACAAGTCGACTTACAGTAAACATCTCCGAGCATCAACTTTTTTTTTTTTTTAATAAAGACTTGGCACGACATTGGCTACTCAGACTAAAAACAAACAATTCTTGAGTTTACATCTTTCTCCTTTATAAGGAAAGAAATCTACATCCCTGCTTTAATTAAACATTTGTTGCATTTTGTTTCTGCCTCCTTTCTCAAGATGCTAAATCATTTTTATCTTCTACAAACAGTATTCCTCGTCTGCTGGCTCTGCGGATGAGAACAGTCCTCCTCTTGCGTCCCGTTTTACAGATACTTGGAGACAGCTGGGTAAATAAATCTTTACAGTCTTCGTCATCCCCGCTGATCCAAACAGCGGCCTACCAAAAGACTCCATCTGCATTGCTTTCAAATCAATGAATCATTGATTTTATCCTAATGGACCGACAATACTGGATTCACTAACACTTAATCATGTTATTATTATTATCAGGGTCAGTTAATTATTATTAACTGACCTTCAATGCTCTGTTATCAGCGCGTACTTCCACTAGAAAAAGAAAGCAACCAAGTGTATGAATCTGTTTGTATATCTATCTGTCCTGCCTTTTGGTGCGTGCGTACAAACGTCATAGCAACTTACAGCGAGCTTAGCCAGCGACATGAAGCCTATGAGGTTGTTCCACACACGGCTGATGTCCTTCAGCTGCTGCTGCAGCTTCTCAGAGCACACCGCTGTGGCCTTGATGCCCAGCTCCACACGCCGAGAGACGCGATACACTTCCACCACGCCTGAGAGGGAGAAAACAAACGCACACATGTCACAGAAACACACTTTCTTAGTCGGTGTTGAGCACTTAGCCGTGACGTGTTAGCCACTCGGCTCATTAAAAGCAGAGAAACAGTAAAGCAGCAGGACCTTGTCAGACGGGGCAGAGATAAGCCATCACACCAGAGCTCATCTTAATCTTGTCCTTTCTGTCCTTCACAGGGTGTTAGGCCACACACCGGCTTCTTTAACAGGCTCTTGTTGCCTTCTTAGGCTCGCAAGGCCTCATTTCTTTTTAACTGTATGTGGAAGTATTAACTCTCTATGTGCAAATGTTTCCAGGTCATAGTGTTATTTATCAATATCATCAAACATTCAAGGGCTGAGCTCGACTCATAGATACATTTTAGCATGAAATGCTTGTTTTTAGGGACTGCAGGGACCTTTCCGTACAAAGAGTGAGGAGTAATCAGCAAATGTTATTTGCATTGTCTTGCCATTACGTCGCCCTTGTTCTATAGAGGCGATCCGAATGAACTCACAAGTCATCTTGGTTCTGATTTTTTCTATTGTCCTCAGCTGCAGGGGAGGGTATAAAATTGCTTGTGTTTTCAGTTCTATGTGTGATACTCATGGCCATAAAACTCCAAAACAATCACCACACTATAAAATAAAGTGGTTACTCATGATGGCCCTGCCCCCTCTGTGCTTTGTGGAGGTTCACCGACCGTGTCAAGCATCACCTTCAGGGATGATTTCTGCCACAGACACCTCACCAATTATTGAAGCAATTTTTCCATCCACAGGCGATACTGATGAGGTGGACCGTCTTACTCCTGTGGCAGTATTTTTTTTTTTATTCTGTGGTCATCAACACTATTTTTTACATGTACTTTCTTTACTTCTCTTTGACCTGAACAGCTGCAGCATTCATTTTTTCTTTTTTGTGTCAGTGTCCACACTCTTCCAGAAAACATGATAAATAAACAGTTCTATTTAGCGCTACTTCATTGATCGGGACCTCCAACTCTCATGTTGGTGGCAATGAGACCTATTTAAAGGCATTTGAAAGGAAAGTGGTTTACAATATATAAGGTTGCTCTGTGGTGTGTGGATGATGAATGGACATTTTACTGTGCAAAGTGCTGGTTGTTGCACACAGATTTAGAGCACTTTCCCTATATGGTTTGATAAATGAGGCTCCCGGTGTGTTTATAGTAGTGGTAGTAGTAGCTGTGTCTGTATGTGCATTAGTGCAGCTCCTCACCAAGCAGGTACTCCATGCCCTGAGCAGACTGGATGACCTCGGTGCAGACAGAAGAGCTGCTGATCCCGTTCAGGGTGTTGTTGGCTTTGGTGATGACCTTAACGTGGAAGGACAGAGGCTGGCGTTATTACATACACACTGGTCTTGCTTATAAAACTCATAATGAGCATCCAACAGTAAAGTGTTACAATTATGGCCTTTACCCAGGATTGAAATGTCAAACACATTAAAACGAAAATATTCCAGCAGACATTTTGTCATGCAACATCCTCAATTTTTGATGAGCTTTAAAAACACAAAAGTCCTGAAGTTATATTTGCAAGTTTCAAGAAAATAAAATATCCCAAGACATACGTGACAGGTAAAATCCTGGCTGAAAAAAACATTTCAGTGTATTTTGGTTATCTTAATTACTCTAGAACATTTGCTGTCGCTCTCACAATTAAGTCTCTCCCAGGTATGAGGTCAGATACAGGACACAAACAAACACAAACCTCCAGAGCGCTTTCCAGGCACCTCTGCCACTCATAGGCGTAGCGCTCGCTCTCCTGCAACAGCACAAAATTATCTCAAATGAACACAAAGGGAAAACAGAAGAGAACAAAAAGGGGCATTTATGTATTTTGAAGCTTTAACAGTCCTCGGTATTGCGCTGAAATCTACTGATATTCGGGTTCCCTCCTCACCTCCACCTCTCCAGTCAGGTCCTTGTACTTGTCTCTGATGACGGGCAGTGCGGGCTTCTCGTTCAGGGTGTTGGATCGGTCTCTGAAGGGCTGCTCTGGTGCCGGAGACGGGGGTGAACGCCTGATCTCCTTCTCACCCAAACTGTGACTGCGCTTGTGGGAACCTGCAACAAAGACGGAGCAGAGAAGAAGAGAAATGAGAGAAATATCAATTCAGCGACATGTTGTGATGCAACTCATTTTGGGCTGTGCACCTGTTTGTCTCCAACCATTCTACTTCCATTCTGTTTGTAGTTAATTCCTCCCAGACAGGGACAGCATGAGTAAATACTTAATTGTGACAAACAATAATTAGGTACAAAACAGAGGCACAAATATGCAGGTATGAATAATTCATAGAAGGACAAAAACCCTGGCAAGGTACCACAACAAGCACGAGCACAAACACAAGTGAAGCCCAGACTATTCCAGTGGGGTTAGCTGTGAGCGCATGTGTGCGTGCGCCATCTACACACAGGTAATCCACCCTCAACCCCACCATCACCACACAACTACTCAGCCTACACCAGAAGCCCCACTGTGATCAGGTCACTGAGCCACAGGATGAAGGGGAGTTAGCGAGCCCTGCTTCTTCACACACATTAACTTCAGCACAGGGAAATGAATCTACATGAGGCTTTGGTCACAGTGCAGGAAACTGTAATAATTTATTTTGTGAAAAATAACAGCAGCAAACAGCGGTTCGAAAATAAACAGCCTCTAAGTGGATACGGTTAATTTCTGCTTATGGATTTGTGGGCATCTGCTAATCCATCTCACCAGTCGCTGCCATTAGAGAGTGGAGCTGTCATCTCAACACTACCATCTAATGTCTGACAGCTTTATTACACATCTGATGGGCCTTGTCTGTGGGGGTGGGGTGCTTGAGCAGAGTGCAGGGCCAAGGACTTAAAGCTGGCCAGAAGAGCCATGTGTCCACATTATGCATATATTCATATAGTCATTTATTCTAACAACGCTTCCTTATGTCAACTACTAATTTAGAATCCTCTGGGCCTGCGGCTCGGTTCACTCTGGCACAGCTGGCTGCCGGCAGAGCCGG